GGACAACCGTGAGCTGTTAGGGACCCTCCAGCTGCGAGAACCCAGGCCTCGTGGGGCACTTTTGAGAGTGGTGGGGGCCCAGCCCCTCGGGCTTCCCTCAAGCCTGCTCCCCCGCTCATTCATTTAGCTCACAAACCTGTTGGATGGAGCACCTGTGCAACTCCCAGACAGGTGTTTGGTTTGAGGATCGTCCCATCATAACTCACAGTGAGGAAGGAAATATTTCCCTGATTACTAACATGCTTCTCACTCCCCAGGAGCTAGGAACCCATTGTTCAGGAAGCAGCCCTTGGTTTCCCTTCCAGGTGGGCTGGGATGATTATGGCACCACACCGTCATCCTCTCTGTCCCTCAGGAGGCGTTGAAGTGGGAGTCAAGATCCAAAGAAGTGAAGGTGTCTTCCTGAGGAAGATGAGGAGGGTGAACCCGAGGAAGCTCAGACCTTCCAAGAAGAGCCAATAAAACACAGTGTAGGGAACAAACTGCCGCTCGCTTATTCTGTGAAATAGCCTCCGTGGAAAGAATGGGCCTCTTAAACAGGGGCTGTCTCCCTAGGACAGAGAGTGGCCACACGGCTGCCTGCCTGTGCTCGGGAAAGACACGATGGAGCTTGAGAGAAGAGCAACAGAGCAACCTCCATTCCCACTCTCAGAACCTCCCACCTCCAAACGCCGGACTCCAATATCTTTCAGTGAAAGACTGAAACACATTTTTGGCTTGTTGATGCTCAGGGGTATGAGGAACTCATTACTCGGCTTAAAGATGGCAGCTAGTGCTGAGGTTGAGCACCTAGGCCATGGCGTGATGTTCTTCATACACAGAGATGGAACCTCAGTACCTTGAATTCATCGGCAACTCGTACTAGTCCACGTTTGCTGCCATGACAGAGAGCAAGGGGGTGGAACACGTCCCTCTAGACGGAACCCATGAAGGCACTGGTGCGCTCAGAGGCAGAGACTCCATGGCCTCCTAGCCTCCTGTTGGGCCCCACCTCCCAGCATTGCCATGTTGGGGTTCAAGTTTTTAGCACAGGAACCCTGGAAGACACATTTAAGTCAGAACACAAAGGAACCGTGAAACAGGAAGAAACCGGGTGTGTGATCCACCCCTACATTTCCAGCAACTGGGGCTGAGACAGGAGGATCCAGGTTTGAGGCAACTTAGCAAGGTCCTGCCTCGGAATTAAAAGGACTAGGGTCCATCTCAGTGGTAGAACACACCTGGGCTCAATCCCCACTACCAGAAAGGAGAGGGAGGGGAGCACGAGGAGGGGAGGAGAAGGAAAGAGAAGAAACAGGAAAACAATGTCAAAGTGTTAATAAAAAGTCTTCACCTATCATAGTTACACAGAATGCGAATGGTAAGTCCTCCAACCAGAAGACCCAGAGTGACGTAATGATTTGAAAAGAACAACAGGATCCATTTACATCGAGACTCAGGCTGAAGATGAAGAGATGGAAGACACCCCCAGGCAAATAGAAACCAAAGGAGAGCAGGGCCACAACACTTCTATCACACCAAACAGATACTAAGCAAAAGCTGTGCAGGGGGCACAGAAGGTCATTAGGCAATGATTAAGGGAACTTCATCAAGAGGATAAAATGATTGTACATTACTAAAGCAAGTGTTAGCAGAACCAAAAGAAGATATAGACAGGTTTTCAATAACATTATATGACTTTTTAGTCCCCTACTTTCAACACTGGTTGGACGTATGTGGGACTAGCGTTATGGAGAGCAGTATGGTGGGTCCACCATGAACTATAAACAGAACTGTCCTGTGACCCCGCAATCATATTTCTGGGGTATTTTTCTAAGGAATTGAAGTCAGTATTACAAATAATTAATTGCACTCTTATGCTTGTTGCATTACTGATGACGACCAAAATATGGGAACTTCAATGTGCCTTAACAGATGAAGTGATAAATAAAATGTGATATATACACACAAGGGAATATCAGCCATGGAAACCAAGAGAACCATCCCATATGCAACATCACGCATGGACCCAGAGAACATGATCCTATGTGACAAGACAGCCACAGAGACAAGGACCGCATGATCTCACTTACATGGAGAGTCTAAAGCCGTCCAACTCATAGAGCAGAGTGTGGGCAGGGAGGATCAGGCCAGATGGCCAGAAGCAGGAGGCCGAGCCCGAGAAGGGGAGGGTATAGTGGGAGTCAAAATAGAGGAGCACGTTCGGGATATACCAAATAACATGTTTGGCCACGCTGTATGCTCTTCTGTCCTATTTCTTAGTTGAGCAAATGTGTGGGGTTTTGTGGTGGTGGGTAGGCGGGGGTCTGGAGCCTCTCTCCACGTGTGCCCAGGGCAGAGGCCACATCAAAAGAGCCGGACAGTGAGACTCTAAAGAGGAACTCCAGGGAGCCGAGTGGGCCAGCCTCTGACACTGTGCATCTGTCTTGAAAAAGACCCAGTCTGGAGAAGCTAACGGAGACCAACCAGTCAGAAGTGACCCACCCTGGGGCTGGGGATTTGGCTCAAGCGGTAGCGCGCTCGCCTGGCATGCGTGTGGCCCGGGTTCGATCCTTAGCACCACATACAAACAAAGATGTTGTGTCCGACAAAAACTGAAAAATAAATATTGAAATTCTCTCTCTCTCTCTCTCTCTCTCTCTCTCTCTCTCTCTCTCTAAGAAGTGACCCACCCTGGCTATCCCAGGGCCCTGACCTGCCCAGTGGGCACAGGATGTTCATGGCGAAGAGGACCGGCAACCCTTTTCCCCTAACTATCAAAATCCAGGCCATTATCAGAGATATCCTTCTCAAACATGTTCAGTGTTTGAGAACATAGGATACTTGATTGATTTTCCCCCAGATCATATAGGCTGTCATCAGGCACACAATTGAGCATGTGTCGTGAGCTATGCACACATGTGTACGGCTTTCAGAGTGTGAAAACAGCCTTGGCACTAGGCCACGGCTTTTTGTTTTTGCTTTTGTTCTTTTAAACATTTTTTTTGTTGTAGATGGACACAATATCTTTGTTTTATTTATTTATTTTTTATGTGGTGCTGAGGATCGAACCCACATAAAAAGGGCTCAAAACCACTGAGATACAACCCCAGCCCTAGGCCAGGGGTTTTTAAAAATGCACATTTCTTGTGAAATGTTTACAACAAAACACAAATATACTCTCAAAACAAAATTTCAGTCATTGTAATTTATATATATATATATATATATATATATATATATATATATATATATAATCTCATATGTGTACTCCCATACATATATGACTAGAACACATTCTGCATGAGCTGATAATTCTAAGCCCTCAAAAGAATGTGAAACCTGGTGCAAACTACATGGATAAATAAAATATATATGTACCACATGACAGTAAGGTGGAGACGGGGTGAGGAGCAAGGAAGAAGCAAAGGGAAAGAGAAATCAAGTATTCACTATGATTGTGAACAAGAATAACTTAATCATGGAAGAGGCCACTGAGGACTCAAAGGAGGTGGAGAGCTCTAGTTTATATATCAGGGACAAAGGAGGTTCCATGTGAGTTGAGTGAACTGTGTAACTCCGTGCATGCTGTGCATGGCTGGTGAGTGCATGCCAGGTGTGTCTACATATCCATGTGGGAGGAGGGGGTGTGCACAAGTGAGTGTGCGTGTCCCTGTGAAGGTGGAGGGAGGGACTCTGGATCTTCTAGATGTCGCAAGCACACTGACTGTATGTCCTGCCCAGGCTCCAAGCTAGACTTCCCTGTATCAGTGTAGCAGAATCTGTGGGTTGAGATCTTATGATAGCAGCATTTTACACGAGGCCCATTGAACCAAAATTGCCCCTGCCTTGGCTCCAGGACACAACCAGATGGTAAAGAGCAGCGTTGCTCTGTCTGAGATCTCAAGGTAACATCAAGCATCATTTAAGTGCCCCCTGAAGTCCACCAGAGCCAGAGAGAGAGTAATCAGGGTGTTGAGGCTCTCATCTATAGAAAGGCCAGAGATGTTTTGCTGATCGTTAGTGTTACCATGTAGAAATGTAAGTCCTTGTGGTTGAATCATTATATTTTTCTGAAGAAAGCCAAATCTAGAAATCTAGATTTTTGTGCAAAATATTTAGTCTTTTAAATGTTGACAGTTATTACCAAAATATGTTGATGGGCACCCACCAGTGTCCAGTGAATGACTCTGGATTAGATGCAGGACTCAGCCTGACTCAAGGATCTGAGAAGACTAAAATTCATAATAACCTCAGGATTCCATGATTCCCATCCCTTTTGTAGGTAAATGGGGAAATGGAAGGCCAGACCAGTTCAACAGCCAGCCTAAGTTCACAGAGCAAATTGGTCAAAACACTGGGACCACAAGACAGTTCTCCAAATCTCTTCTATCACTTGTGCTGTTCCTTACTATGTAAGTTATCCACTGTTGCTCAACAAATCACCTCCAAAACTTAGGGCCTGAAAACAACCAACACTGGTTCCTCTCTGGGGTTCGTGGATAACAGGGATGGCCCAGCTGGGCCTTCTGGACCAAGGTCAGCCGTGAAGCTAAAGTCAAGCTGTCAGCTAGGGCTGCAGTGCCACCCGGAAGCTGCACAGGAAGGGCATGCAGCTAAAGTCAGCTGCTGACAGAGGTGAGATCCTGCAGGATATTAGAGTGAGGGCTGTGTTACTTGCGATCTGTTGCCAGACCCCTCCTCCAGTTCCTTACCGTGAGGGCCTCTCTGTAGAGCAGCTCCAGTCATGGCTGCTGGCTTCTCTCAGGAAAGTGAAAGAGAGAGAACACCCCAAACTGGACCCTCGGTCTTTATAGATCTAGCCTCAGAATTAGCATCTTGGCACTGCCACCAGATTGTAATTGTTAGGAATGACTCCATGAGCCCAGCCACCATCCACAGGAGCAGAGATCACCGGAGTCTGGCACAGAGATTGCTTACCCTACGCACTGCCTCATGAATGCACGCCAGCAATCAATAAGCATGGCCCACGGGCAAAATCCAGCCGCCACGTGTTTTTGTAAATGAAGTTTATTGGAACAAAGTCACGGCCATTTGTTTACATATTGTTATGATTGTCTTTGCACTGACCTGACCCTGCAGAGCCGAGTACTCACAACAGAAGCCACATGGCCACAAAACCTGAACACGTGCACAGGCCTGCCCTCTATACAAGAGGTTTGCTAACCCTATTAGATGCAATCCTAAAGCTCTTTGAAGAAAATGGAAGAGCAGATTGAGATAAAGATGCCAAATTCATCATTTGATTGAATTCTCTCAGAGCACCAGCATGGCCAATGTCATGGTGTACACCTCCCTGAGGCGGTAAGCTGGGAATTCCCAAAACAGAAGGAGCGCTGTGGTCTGCATCAAGAGGGAAGGAGTGGCTTCACTTCCCCAAACGCTGTATCATTTGTTCTCCACCAAATGAGGTTCATTTACCTTCACATTGGGAAACCACTCTTCCAAAACTTGAGATGAAAAGGTGAATGTAAAACTTAGCTGTAGTGGCCTCAAGTGGTAGAGTGGATGGTTAGCACAATAATCTGTGATCCAGGGGATTCTAGGTTTCAGATTCGAATTTCAGAAAGTTATTTCCAACTTCTCTTGGCCTTGGATTCTATTTTTGTAACACACAGATCGCAGCACTAACTCCAGAATAATAACTGCAGGGCCAGGCCTGGGATAACAGCTCCGCAGATGCCAGCCATCCTAAAGCATTTAGCGATTCCCTAATGTGGTAGGGAACCAGTTCATTCCAAGTGCCAGTTCTGATTAAGTGACAGTGGCATAAGTCCTATTTGAAAAGAAAATTCCCCTGGGCCCCCAGGATACATCATGACCCTCACCCACATTCCCCACCCATGAATGAGCTGACCCCATGGCTGTTGTACCTTAAGGTGTACTTTAAGGTACGGAGTCCTCTGTACCTTAAAACTCCTGTCCAGGGAAGCAGCCAGAAGGCCGTGGTGTCTAGTGGCCACAGGTGCTGGGTGGTGGGTCTTCACTGGGGCCAGGAGTGAAATGCAGTCAATGAATAAACAGACACATGTGGCCACTCCTTTCCATTTGGAATGATGCGATTGCTGCCTGGACAGCAGGAGAATGTCCTTGGAGTGGCCTTATATGGATTATATCTCCCTCCTGACTTCACCCTCAGGATCTGGCGAGTCAGCCCCCGCTGGCCAGGTGAGATTCTGAAGACTGTGGGAAAGGCCTGGGGCACCACATCAGGCTAAGGCTTCAGATTCCTGAACGAGTTGGAGCCTGTTAGAAGGTAGGGTGACTGCAGCCAGGCTCTCTCTCCAGATCACGCCTCCATGATAAAGGGTACCACTGTCCACGCTGTCCCCAGAACAGAACCCTCCCCCTTGACGCCCTGACCACCACGTCAACGTGCCATCCCATCCTGTAGAGGCCTGGCTCTCGTGCCCCTCTGTTCATCCCCTTAGAAATGTGGCAGCCTTCTGTTCAGCCCTTGGGCTCCTTAGTCGTGGTCTCAGAACCCTCTAACCTTCCTCCCTCTTGTGTTTGCTGTGAGCTTCTTTCCAAAACATAAATCTGCTCAGGTCGCTCTGTTGTTGACCCTTGGTTGAACCTGCATTGCCTGCTGAGGTTCCCTCTCCATTCCTTACTCTTCTAGAATGCTTTCTTCTTGACAATACTTGTCCCAAGTATCCAAGTTTGGAAACATTTACTTTCTCGTTAACATAAGGAAACAAATGAAAGTACCCCTACACCTTCTAGAGAGGCAGTGAGAGGTGTCCACAGGTCCAGACCACGTTCATGAAGGAGTTTGGCAAAGGCTCCAGCTGTGAGGCAAAGCATGCTCTGCATGACTCCTGGGTAGGGCAGGTTGGCGGGTGACCGTCCTCAGTGGAGTTTGACACTTGGCCTGGGCTCTGTAACCTGCACAGACCATTATGCAGAAACAACAGACAGGATGGAGACTGCATGTCAGCAGTTAGGAAAAGAGGAAAATCTAAAAGAATCCAATTCCCAGCCTCCATCACCCAGCAACATGGGGAGTGAGGGTGACATTTATGAGACAGGCACAATCTTACTCTAAGCTGAGGTGATGGTGAGGCACTGGATGTTATTAAGGTAGTGATCTTGGAGAGGATGAAAGATCAGCCAGGAAAATCTGGAGTGGTCCTGATTAGAGATGAAGATGGAAGTCATCAGAGGTCTATATAATCCACCTCCCAGGCTCTGTGTGGGGCGAGAAGAGGACCAGGAATTAGGTCTCTAAATTCTTCAAGAGAAATTATGCTAAAGCATGGAGTGCATTACCTCCTTCTCTAAGCTGCCATTTCCTTATCTGTGAAATGCAGATAATAATATCAACTTTCACATGACTCACATGAAATAAATGCACATAAAGTGTTCAGCATCATGCCTGGCACACAGAATTTGCTGAACAAATATTAGCTGTGATGACAGTGAGGAGAAGGAAGGGGACAAGGTCCACCTTCTTATTATCATAGTAATGTCAATCTCTCTCTCTCTCTCTCTCTCTCTCTCTCTCTCTCTCACTAGGGATCGAACCCAGGGCACTTAATCACTGAGCCACATCCCCAGCCCTTGTTTTTATTTCTTATTTTGAGACAGGGTCTCACTAAGTTGCAGAAGCTAACTTTGAACTTGTGCTTTTCCTGCCTCAGCCTCTGAAGCCACTGGGATTACAGATGTGTGCCACTGCACCTGGTCAATAATGTCAAATTCTTGAAGCTGTCCCATTTGGGGGACTTTGGAGATAGGAGAAGAATGAAAAAGTCCATGAAGAATCAAAGACAGGCATCAGAAGTCCAGGAGAACATGGAAAGCATAAGTCTTTATTTTGCTACCATGTCAGTGTCTACCGGATCTTCCTTAAACTTAAGACTTGGAAATAGTGAGGAGCACAGAGCCCAGAAACAACAAGCTGTCTACCTGTGTCAGTGCCAGGTCCACACGCCTGACAGCCAGTGTCCACAGTGTTTCCTAGATGATGAGCTGAAGAGGAACAGGTTTTGAGAATGAGTGTCCTCACAAGTCACATGCTGCAAAAAGGCAGAGTCAGATGATCCCCTGGATTGGAGGTGCAATGTCACTGTTGAATTTGGAGGAGAGCTTTGAATGGGTTCATTGAGACAGATGCCAGGAAGCAACACATTAAGGGGCAGGTTTGGAAAACAGGTGATCAGAAGAGACCACCGCACAGAGTAGAGACCACTATCAAGGAACTTGATGGTGAATCAAAGGAAAGAATGAGGCAGTGGTTTTAGGAGAAGAAATGGGTCAAGGACAGGTTAGTTTTAAACAAACAGCTGAACCGTCATGGGCCACGTGAAGGAGCCCCTGGGGAAGAGACAAGAGGGACATGGGTTGTGGGGCCCACTGCAAAAGTGGGTTCCACAGGTGCGAGCTGACTCTGGGAAGGAGACCTACTCCACCTCAAGCAACGCAGGAGCAACAATAGGTGGACGTGTAAGCTTATGAGGAAGATTCCGGAACACGGAGGCATGATTGGGAGAGCCGGCCCCTGCTCCCCTCTGTTCCTTTAAAGTTAAATTGCCTGGTGGGAGAGAGAGCAGGGAGGCCATCAAACCACTGAGCCATGAGACTGGGGATGGGCCATGTCCTCTCCCAGAGGTGGGTGCCCCTGTGGCCTGGTAGGGCCACGTCCCTTCCCTGCTGGGACCCTGTGTGCAGCAGCCAGCTCTAGTGCACACTCCCTCTTCTGCTGTCAGTTTGCGCAGCATCCCTGGGGCCTGCTGAGCCGGCCTCTGTCTTCAGCCACTCAGAAAGCCTTCTCGTCCTGTGCCCTGCCGGAGTCAACCCGAGTGTGTCCACAGGGACAGTCACGTTCTAAGAGCCCAGCCTGACTGTAGCATGAGGACTCTGTGTCACAGCCAGGTGAACAGGCGCCTGCAGTGGTCTCTCCTCCTCCGCCAGCTCCAGGTGCAGCAGGCACTCCCGGGGGTCCCCCTGGAGACACGTGTCCTGACTCTGCTCTCCAGGAGCCCTCAGAGGTGCCAGTCCACCGGGAACTTTCTCTCCATTTTCCTTGTTCTTGTACTTTTCTCCCAGGTAGTATCAGGTGAGCATGGTGTTCCCTTGGAGGAGGGTCAAGGAGAGCACTTTGGGGGGATTTGGAGCAGTGATCTGATGAGGCACAGGGAGAGCTCTCTGCGGAGAGGTGGTGCAGAAAACAGACGTGGAATCCCTTTGCCCATGTGTCCTCCCTGCCCAAAGCTCAGCAGCCTCTCTGTGTCTGCCAGACCCCTGCATGGGGTCCTGGGGGAGCCTGTCACCACTGGGGAGGCAGCGAGTCAGACAGGATCAGAGCAGTGCAGTGCAGAACAAGGAGGTGACACAAAGTAAGAAATGGTGGGTCCAGGGACCTTGAGCATCATCTCTCTATGTTAGGTCTTCCCTCTTAAGGAAAGAAGATGAAAAATCGTGGTGTAGGGTAGGGATGGCTGTGCTGTTTGACCAGTCCCAATCCTCAGGGACTCTCAGTGGGAGACCCTGAGAAGATAGCCCTGTGGTTCTCCCCAACGGTCCTTGAGTCCGCGGATCTTGACGACACCTGGGCTGAGCCTCTTCCCTTGTGACTATGCCAGGTTCCCTGGGAACCGCAGGAGAACAGAATGGCTGGGACCGTCAACATCCCTGGGCACCGAGGCCTATTCCACACCCCCAGAGTTACTGACATGATTCGCAGGCAGGCAGTGTAAATACCTTTAAGACCAAAGATTTTTGAAGAAGTGACTATCAGGCTCATCAGCTTAATTGCAAGCACAACTCTCTCAGGCTTTCTTCTTGGTCTTCATGTAAGGAATTTTTGATGGAGTCAAAATTTTAGATGATTAAAACCTTAGTCTAGTTTTTTCTTAATTCATGCTCCCTTATCTGCTGATGCAAATGCTAACTTGTCTGCCCCCCTCCCCACTAGACTTGGGCCAAGCTCGGCTTTTCCCTGCTCCTCAGACTGGTTCTGTGCTCCCCACCTCTGCTGATCCTCCTGGAGAGAACACTGGCTTCTCCGCCTGCCCCACCAGATCCACCACATCCTGGGTCCTGTGACTCACGTGAGCCAGCCCTGTACTCTGGTCTTGTCCCTTCTTTGCATACCCTCGCCTTTCTATCTGCCCCCCCCATCTCTCTCCCCGTCTCTCTCAGTGGTTGGAGCACAATACACAACATCCAATAGAGTGTTCCAAATCCAGTGGTATTTGCAGGAAACCAAAGGAACCTCTACCTGCATTTCTGCCTGCAAGATGAAGAAATGCCAAGAAAGTTTGCTGGGCAGAGAACACATAAGATACATAAAATATTAGTCCACACTCACAGGGTTGGTGGGAGCAGACGACTCGGTTACCTGGTGGGAAGTAAAGCCTGTGCTTTCCTGGCCCGCTTCCTCCTGTTGTGAACTGGCTCTGGACTTGGGTTTAAAGGCAAGTCCCCTCTAAAGCTGCAGTCCTCGCTGAGGTGCCATCAGGAGACCTGGAACCACGGCAGAGCACAGAGCAGGGTAAACAGGCCCAAGGGTCTCCAGCAGCTGCCGGAGGAGCCAAAGGGAAAAGAAAGGCCATTTTTATTTCCTAAGAAGCTTTTATGAAGCAGTGGTGTCGCCCTAGAAGCGCCTTCTCCCCGCCCAGTCTTCAAAGAAACTTGTTCAACCACGGGTTGGCCTGTGGAGGTCTGGTCCCTGCAGTGATGTGACGGTCTGATGACTCTGGCCCTGCACTCTGAGCCAGGAGCTGGTTAGATCTTGTGCCACACCCAGCCGCACCCTGTGTAAAACATAGTAAGACTACAAAATCAGCACCCATCCCACCCCACAGTCACCTGCTCCTTCCATTTCAAAGCATCTCCAATTGTTTGCTCCAACCCTGAACGTAAGAGCAAAGTTAGGTTTTTAAATGATAAAGTGTCTACACCCCCAAAGTCCTCTTACATCTGCTGATTAAAATCCACTCTTCAGCACGAGCCTCCTTTTCCCTCCATCTGTGCAGCCCTGTGCCTAAACCCTCGCCATGACCCTCTGCCCCACCCTTTGTTATCTGACTGTCTGCCCGTCTGCAGAAGCTACCTGGAGCCCCTGGAGAGGAGAAACCAGGACTTGCCCCTGAGTCTCAGCCTGTGGGTCTCTCACCCACACTGAACACGCGTGCTGGTCTTCACCTGTAAGAGATGCTCGGGGTTGCTCACTGAATCTGCTGGGTGCACCAGTATCCTAACACACTCCTGGACCTCACACCCAGAGCCGCGGTGGGTCCACTGGGATGGCAGCCAGGCAACAGGATGGCTTCAGCTCCCAACTAAATAGGCAATTGGCAGACACAACCCACTGCTTAGACTCCTCAACATTTAGGTCTAATAGCTAAAAAAAGAAGAAGAAATTTTCCCCTCAAACTCTGACTTCATACCCAGTGAAAATCATCTGATCCCTGGACGTTTTTGAAAGCTCCTGAGCCAAGAATAGCACAGGGACTCTCCTCCCCAGGAAAGAGAGGCAGCTATTCAACATTATCACAGCATTGTCCTTCCAAGGAAGTGAGATAAAACACCTTCCTTATAAATTTGGGTAGTTTCACAACCATGATGAAGTACGAGATGTGTTTTACTCTCTGTAGCACCATAAGGGGTGAAGGCAGGGGCTCTTCAGCACAGTTCATTTGTGAACCACCCTTTGCCCACTTATCCCACTCGTTGGCATATACCCAAGGACTTAAAATCAGCATACTATAGTAATAGAGCCACATCAATGTTTATAGCAGTTCAATTCACAATAGCTAAACTATGATAAATGGAAAAAGAAAATATGGTATATATACCCAAATGGATCATTACTCAGCCATATAGAAGAATGAAATTGTGGCATTTGCAGGTAAATCAATAGAATTGGAAACTATCACCCTAAGTGAAATAAACCAATCCCCCAAAAAACAAAGGCCAAATGTTCTCTCTGATATGTGGATGCTAACTCACAATAAGTGGTATGGGGGGATAGAAGTTCACTGGATTAGACAAAGAGGAATGAAGGGAAGGGAGAGGGGTGGGAATAGAAAAGACAGAATGAATCGGATATAACTTTCCTATGTTCATATATGAACACACTACCAGTGAAACTCCATATCACGGACAGCCACAAAAATAGGAAGTTATATTCTATGTATGTATGATATGTCAAAATATATCCTATCATCTAGAAAGAACAAATAAAAGAATATTTCTTCTTTCCTCACCACCTGAGGCCAGTCCTACCCCCCAGATCTGAGAACGTCCAGAGCTGGATTGATCTGGTTCCCAGGAGGGCCTCAGACTCTCTGTCTTTTAAGAAGATGCAGGAAATTAAAAAGTACCACAGTGCAGATAGGTCGACCCCAAACCAGGAACCCTGGCACCACTCCCAGGAGAAGACAGGTCCTGCCCACACCAGCCCCGCCTGTACCCACAGCCGGCTCCAGCCAGTCATGACCAGGCCCCTGAGCCTGGAGGACAGCAGCTGTCCCCATGTCCATAGCAAGCTTATCAGGCTGGTACCAGCTCCTGGGTGAGTGGGTGTGACCTGTGCAGAGAGAGAGATGACACATCGGGAAGTACGTCATCTTGTCATCACTGTGACATTACAAGAATTGCAGCCATGGCTCACCTCTTTATAAACGTGAACCCGTGCACCTTTCAGTCCAGCCTCAGCCTGCTGCGAAGCCGGTCAGCCATGCGGATCCTGTACCTGCTGGGCGTGTTGCTCCTCTTGTTCCTGATGCCCGTTCCAGGTAAGTCAGGTGGGAAAGAGGGGCTGAGAGGAGCAGTGTCAGCGCATCCAGGCCTCTCCATTCTCCAACATTCCCTGGGTGGGACCAGGGGAATTGTCTTTGGCAGCTGACCAGTCAGGGCCAGCCTCACAGCAGGCTCCTGCTCCTGCTCCCTCTGCTAATAGCACCTCTTCACCCGCCTCCTGGTGGGAGGACTGGTAAGGAGATGTGGGAAAGTGCTACTCAATTTCAGCCTCGGAGGAAACCTGGGCTGGTTCTGTGAGCAGAAGCAGAGGCTTCTGGTTCACTAAGCTTAGTGGTCAGAGGGGGTGGGCCCAGGACACTGCACCCACAGAGATCTGCAGTTTCCCCCCAGGGGACATTGACTACTGCCTGCTGGGCTCCGCCTTCCCTTCACTCTTAATTTTATAGCCAAGCAGGGAAGGAAATAGAACCCTGGAAGGCAGCGAGTGAGTGACTGAGGAACTCCTGAAGCCTGGAATTTGTCCCAGGACCCCTCCTAGAGCCCCCTATACCTTCTATTTTTCCTTTGCAGGTCACAGCGGGATCATCAGCGCAGTACAGAGGTACTATTGCAGAATACGGGGTGGCCGGTGCGCCGTGCTGGGCTGCCTCCCCAAGGAGGAGCAGATAGGCCGCTGCTCTCTCCGGGGTCGGAAATGCTGCCGCAAAAAGAAATAGGGATCAGACGTGAGGAGAATGTTGGGGCGATCCCTCCTTCAAGTTTATAAAGCTAAAACCAAATTTAAATTTTTTTTCAAAAATTTAGAAGCTTGATTTTTTTTTTTAAACACTCTGGTTTTGTGGAAGTTGATACCAAGCAGGCAACTGAGAGAGGCTAATGACACCTTCCATTAAATACATCAGCTTCTGCACCGTGTTTGATTTTCGTGGGTTTTGGAACTCGGCAACACTGGACTCTTTCTGGAACATTCCTTTGCTCCCTCATCCTCCATACTCCTGGGCTTTACCGTCCTTCTTCCCAGGACTTCATCTCTCTGAAGCCACCTCTAAAACCTTAATGCATCCCTCAGGCACCAATCCAAATCCTTCCAGAAAGTTTCTCCTCAGAGACGGGGACCCTGAGCCTCCTTTAGTATACCCTTTGCTTTCCTGCTGCCCAGGCCTCTGAGCTGTTGGCCTCAGAACTGGCATCAGCTCACTGCTCCCACCTGTCTCCAAACGCTAGCCGCCCGTGTCTGTCTCCTCCCACCTGCTGCACCCCGGGCTCTGACGTGAGTGCTGCCTCTGAAGGTGACTCAGTGTCTCCCCCTGTCCATTTGCACACTGTGGGTTCCCACGCGGGTGGTAGGACTGTTGGTAAAGCGCCCTGAGCATGGAGGCTGCTCGGCCAGCACTGGCTGGACCAACGTCCATTCATGAGCTTTGGATCATCCACTGTTTAAGGATCCAGCATCTGGAGTGATGATCTGTCCTCCCTGACCCCAGTCCCCCAGGCTAAGCACTATGGTGGAACAGCAAGACTACTGGGCTCTCAGGGATAGGGGAATGAAGACCCCTGGAGCAGCCCACACCCCACCCACCATCCATCCAGGAAGCATTGCTGAGTGCCCTCCAACAGTCCACAAGAAGGGGCCAGACAGAAGGTGAGGACAGGCACCATCCAGTGGGGGACGTGACTGCAGGCAGAAGGAAGCAAGAGGAGCTTATGACTGGCCGACCTGCTACTGGGCAGGGCCTGCAGGTGCCAGGAGGGGCCTCACCCTGCCCAGCAGTGCAGCCGGGTGGAGACTGAGGTCATAACTATGGGCACAAGACCCCTTCTGCAGGGCAGAACTTCCTCACAGGTGCTGTTGGGGAAGGGGGCTTCAGTCAGCCACAGGAAAGCAGAAACACCCAAGGTTTTAGATGAAGTCCAGGCACACACAGGGCTGGAGGCACACACAGGACTGGAGGCACACAGGCTCCCACTAGCACCGGCCTCCAGTCTCCCCTGAGGGATGCCATCAGCTGCGTGGAGCTCTCCAGGGAGCCTCTGCAGCTGCTCTAACCCGGAGCTTCTAGAGATGAAAATAAACATCTGAATTAAAATATACTGAGCTGGACAAATGGTGTGTGACGGTAAGGATCAGTAAGCCAGCATCTGTTTTAGCACCAACAAATGAGAAAGTGAAGCAGAGTGAGAGTAAAAGGAGAGACTGGGAAAACCTTAACAGAGGGCTGAGTGCAAACCTCACCAGCCCAGCCTGTGCTTGGAGTCAGAGGAAGCCAGAGGAGGAGACAGGAAACAATGGCCTGCTGTTGTCCAGCTCTGGTGAGACTGCGACCCACAAAGGGAGGACTCAAAGAAATAGGAGCAGAATGAACAAAGACAGCCACACCAAGCACATCAGAATCAGAGTATTTTAAATGTGACAAAAAGAACATCTTACAAACAGCTCGAGAAGACACATTGCTCAGAGAGAGGATCAAGCACGCTTCCCACAAGGGTCCACAGGAGCCGTGTGAGGCCCCAGTTCCACACCAGCAGGATCGCTTCACAAACCAAAGCAAAGACCCCACTATCTCAGCTACACCCAAAAGACACAGGAATCCCTCCCGGGAAGTCCTGCACCAGGAAATGCAGGTGTGGAGGAGAGTCTCTGCAAGATGGAAGGAGCAGGCTGCCCACATTCCAGACACCTCAGGAAGGGAGAGATTGCAGCAGGTGAGAAACAAGAGCCAAAGGCACGCTGTCCATCAGGAAGAATAGGCCACAATGACACCCATTGTGCTGTGTAATTAGTAGGCACTAATAAAGACCCACTGTGCATGTCAAATACAAGGACAAAGTTAGGTCAAAGCAGAAAGGATAGAACCAGACATATAAAAACATTAATCTAAAGAAAACATTGGTTAATTGATTAATCTTGGTTTAATTGGTTAATTGGTTGATCTATTGGTTAATTGATTACAGATCAGAGCAGACTTTAGAACAAGCAGTGTATTACCAGAGATAATGAGGGTATTTTTTCTAAAGATAAAATGGTTAAATCACAGGAAAAAAAAAAGCAAATAATCAGTACACATCTAATAGAAATAGAAATTGTTAAGAAAAATTGTGGAAATGAGAGAATAAATAAACAAATTAAGAATTGCAACAGGATATTTCAACATTTTTTTTCGTTGTAATGGATGGAAAAACAGACAGAATAACAGTAGAGAAGCCTTGAATGACAGTGTCACCCAGTGTGACCTTTGTGAAATTCATAGGACACTCCACTCACTAACAGTAGAATGCATTAAAAGTCACCCAGTACGGCCCACCCTGAGCCAGGAAACAAGTCTCAAAAAGCAGAACAGTTTGAAACCATACAAAATATGGTGTCTGGACACAGTGGAACCTACAAAGCTATTGATAACAGAAAGATATCTGGAAAAGGTCCCAAATATTTGGAAATTAATCAACTTACTTCTAAATATTCAAGAAGGAATCACAAGAGAAATTAGGAAACATTTTGCAGTGACCGAAAAGGAAAGCAGGACACACTCCAAGGTCTGTGGGAGAGCAGCTGAGGTGCTTCTTAGAGGGAATTTCATGGCATTAAGTGATTTTAGGTAGAAAGGAGAGAAACTCCCTAGTTGACAGTCTAAGTTTCCTCTAAGAAATGAGATGTTAAAACACAAAGCAAATAGAGGCAGGTGGGAAGAAAATGGGCGCGCAAAAGAGAATTTTTAATAAAAATGAAGCTTATTCTTTGAGATGATGAATAAAAATTTTAGAACTCTCATTAGGTTCATTAAGAGGAAAAAATAATTACAAAATCCTTGGTGGCGTGCATATACCTGGGGTGCTTATGAAGCTTGCACATAGCTTGGGGCAAACAGGAAAATGGGAATGGCTGACATGACATACAAAGAATCGCCACAAGGTGGCAGTACCTCGCACCGTTGTTCCTGGCCTTCAGAAGGCCTGTCATGCTCTCAGCCCTCCCGTCAGCTCAGGAGGCTGGAGAGGATGGCAGCAATACCAGGGGAGGCTGGCGTCCAGCAGGCAGCTGTCACTCTAGCCGAGGGGCTGTGGGAGAAGGAAGGCGCGAAGTGGTCAGGACGCCAGGGCGATTTCATTAATCTGCACCAGGCACGTCCGTAGGAGGACTTGGAAGAATGGCGGTTTTCAGTTCTGATCCCACCTCTGAGGCTTAGCAGCTAGGTGACCACGGGCCTTCACCTTTCCAAGTCCCAGGACTGTCATCTGTACAGCTGAGCCGTGCCTACCTGGCAGGTGCACGGAGGAGGGATGAATGGCATATTGTGTCTGAATGTGGCCATAAGAGCTATAGAACTGGCAAAGCTCCGAGCAAAATGAAAATGCACAAAAGAAAGTGATGTTAGAGGAGGATGTCAAGCGTTTTCCTTCAAAAATGTAATTTGCAGAATGAAATAGGACTCCCATTATAGAGGAACGATAACAGAAACTGAAAATTGAAACGAATATTTTGGTGTCGTAATTTTAGTACAACAAATACTACTTTATATTAATAAAGTAGTATCTTGATTGATAATATAATTTTCCTGGCCGGCTTTCCTGAAAACTCATTTATTAGGTCATCAGCATTTATACTTTGAGCAACGTTGTTGTTGTTATTATTATTTTTAATTTTGAGAAGAATCTGCTAATGCAACTGTGCTGGAGTAAAGAGGATCTGACAGCTGTAACAATGTTGAGATGAAGCTATTTTGAAACATAAATCTAGATCAACCAGTCATAGAGGTGAGAGACTTTGCTTTTGAAAGCCTGCCAACTGGAATGGAGCTGCACTCCCTCCTGGGGCCCTGAGCCCCTCTGCCTGGGAGGAACAGCCTCAGCGCCCCCTTCGGTTTAGGGAAGAGCTTTGTGGGTGCAGCACTTATCTCTCCTTTAAGGAGCAAGACACAACTGTACTTCTCAGCCCAGGCTGGATGGTTACCATTGCACACCCAGCCTGGCTTCTTCTTGAGCTTAGATAAGCAATCAGTTAGACTCCACCTAAACTCGACACTTCCCCAGGCCCCATAGTCGCTCCATCTCTGGCTTTTGGTGAGGGAGCCATGTTTGTGCTGGCCTGTGGTCTTACAGGTCAAGGCCAGGAAGTGATCCTGCCTTTGAGAGTGCCTTACTGAGCTGGGGTCTCTATCAAATGAGCTTCATCACCAAGGTAGCAGCACAGCCGCAAAGGAGGCATCTGGCACCAGGTGCTGTCAGTCACAGGAACCCCTGGTGGGAACACAGCACCCCCTGATGCAGCTGTCCTGGAGACCCTGAAGGGTACTCTTCCCCAGGGACACAGGGTGATGTGTCTCTCAGTGGTTTCCCTACTTCAGATCAACTTTTCCTCCTTCTCCAGTAGGTCTTCACAATTGCACAGAGATCTAGGCAGAACAGAAAGTAAGCAGACAAAATGCTACTGGTGGTTCTCTGGGGTTGGGACACAAGTGGGAAATCACACTTTTGTACAGGTGGACTTTTAAATGACAGTGAGCTATGTTTGTAATAATTGCAAGCACATGACTCACTAGAAAAGGGTGAATAGGATTAATGCCAAACAGGAAAAAGATGGCAGCCATTAACTTCCTCAACCTCAGAGCCCAGTGAAGCCCCTTCCTAAGTATTATGGCATTCTATAAGACTGCCGCTCAAAAAAGAAAGAAAAATACACGGGGGGGGGGGGGAACCATCTAACTCAATGTGTGACTCTAGATTAAAAATAGACTAGGAAAAAATATCAATAGATACAAAACCCCTAGGGGAAATGCAAATAATGATTAGATACTAAATGAGATTAGGAATTATTCTCTCACATGTGTAAATGGTATAGGGATTCAGGTGAGAATTTTCCCTTGTTCTTAAGAAGTGCATGCTGAGAGAATCAGGTGCTGTACCACGATGTGTTATGAGTTGGATCTTAATTAAGTGTCCCCCAGACGTCATGTGCTTGGTCCCCAGCCTGATGTACTGTTATGAGGTGGTGGAACTTTTAGGAGCTGGGGTCTAGCAGAAGTCAGGTCATTGGAGCCATGACCTTGAAGGAGATATTAGGACCTGCCCCTCCCCTCTGCTTCTCCTGCCATGACATTCCACCTCAAGACAGTCCCCCAAATGATGGAGCCATCAACCACAGACCAAAGCCTCTGAAATTGTGAGTCAAATAAACCTTTCTTCCTTTTGAGTCTCTCACATATTTTTTCACAGTGACAGAAAACTGACCAACACATGATGTTTGCCTCTTGTCATCAAAAAACTAAGAGAGATACATCTAATATATATATATGGATATATTGGGAGGGTACCAGGGATTGAACTCGGGGTCACTTGACCACTGCGTCACATCCCCAGCCCTATTTTGTATTTTATTTAGAGACAGGGTCTCACTGAGTTGCTTAGTGCCTCATTGTTGCTGAAGCTGGCTTTGAACTCATGATCCTCACCCTCCTGAGCCACTGGGATTACAGGTGTGCGCCACTGCTCTCAGCTCATCAAACATTTTTTTTAAAAAATAAACAATTCAGGCTAAGCATATTCAAGATTTTTAATTTTTTTTTTTATTCAGTGTTTTCCGTACGCTTCCTTAGCCTGGAAGAAATACTCTGAGTGTTGAGTGAGTGACATGCTTCTCTACACAGTCCAGAGGAGGGGCGTGCTGTTGTGGTGACCAGAGCCTGAGCATTGATGGGACCTCCTTCACGGCTTCACCAGCGTCCCAACCCAGGCCTCTGTCTCACATGATCCAGAAGTCATCACTTCTTGCCAACACAGCATTGTCACCAGCGTCCTCTCAAAACACCTCGAATTAGGGAATAAGACAGAGGTGACTAGAGGCTGGGACAGGGACGGGGAGGGGAAGAGAGAGAGGTCGAATAGCAGGGACAAAATACAGATAGGACAAGTGAGTCCTGGTGTCCTGTTCCCAGGAGAGTCGCTGGAGAAGACAACAACAGAAAGTGGGTAGACTTCACACTCCACACTTCAAAACAGCTCGAAGACGTTCCCAACGCAGAGAGATGATCAGTGTTTGGATGGATGTGCCAACCATCCTGCGTTGACCATTGCATGGATTGAAATGTCACCCTGGACCAGGGAGAGCCCAGACACAATGCTGTCCTCCCTGTCTGCCTCTGTGGAGTGAAACACACACCCACCTGAGTCAGTGCCCGTCTTCCCGGGTAGATGGGGACTTTCAGGAGATGTCTCAT